ACAACAAAAGCACGGGAGGTTTTTAAAGGTTTCGTAGCTTTGATTATAAAACAACATCCAAGAATCTTATACCTAGATTCTAAACAAAGCCAGATCGGATAACAATTGCATTGCTAAATTAGGAGGTGAGCTGCCGTGAACGTGCACTTCCTCGTCTGTCTAACATCCCCACTCCTGCTGCTAGGTTGGGCGAGACACGAGGTGAGATTCTGGGTGTGGTGCATGGATAGTAGGTAGTTAAGTCTGGGTGAATCATCTCAACACAGCCTTAGACTAAGCTGTCCTGGAAAACAGCTACGGGTAATACTTGAGCCTCAGGATTAGTTTCAGACCCCTTGGAGGAGAAAGGCTGCAGTGAGGGCGTGGCACGTGGCCTGTGTCTACCTCACTCGGGTAAGCGAAACAACAGGCACCAAATTGGGGGGCTACAAGTAGACCCACACCAGCTCGACGCCTCTCAACATGGGCAACTCCAGAGTGGAATAAGGTCCAACCCCTCTCAAGGAGATCAGTTCCAGAGCCCATGCTGTGCATCAAAGTGAGCCCAACTATATCTAGTTGGTACATCTCAACCTCGCGTACAAGCTCAGTCTCCTTCCCTGCCAGAGAGGTTACATTCCATGTCCCAAGAGCTAGCTTTGGTAAGCCAGGGTCAGAACGCCAAGGTCCCCGCCTTCGGCCACTGCCCATGGCATCATGCACCTCACTTTTATGGCCCTTCATGCAGGTGGTGGGTCCACAGGAAGGCAAACCCATGCTACTCCTTCGGGCTGAGCCTGACTGAGCCCCATGGGCAGAGACCCGGTCACCAGGCACTCGCTGGCAAGCTCCTCCCCCAGGCCTGGCTCCAGGGTGGGGCCCCGGCAACCCACGTCTGGGCAAGGGTCACTGAGTTCCTCGTTTTGTTTTGTCCATAAAAATTTTCTGAATCGCTCTTTGTCTGGCCTGTCACCTAGGACCAATCTGCCTTGGGAGACCCTACCAGGGGCAATTATAATTGCCCCCAACAGCATAGTTCCTAGGATCATTCAGGCGCACAAACTCCTCCACCACGATAAGATGGCAATTCAAGGAGGAGGACATGTTGATTTTTCTGAAGAAAAACTATTAAGTGAAAAGGTCCTCAGTGTGTAGCAGTGAGCATTAGACACTGACGTGTCACTGGTTTGCATCTGGTCTTTTGACCTGGAAATTATTTATTTTTATGTAAGAAAACTGTTTGGAATAGAAAAATACCAAAGTAAAAAAAATAAAACTCACCATTTGTACTGTAATGTGTAACGTAATTTTATTCTTGTTAGAATTAATATTATTTCTAAAATTGGTACCAAAAAAAGAACTGTCCAGGAACCGACACCGAAGTAAAGGTGTTGACACCAATACCAATTTTTTAGAAAGGTACTCAGTTCTATTTGCTGGTCACGTGTTTGCAAATATTCAGAATACAGTATCATTATTTGTTGTGTGAAAATCTGCCATTTGCTGTATGTTGTGTCCATTAAATTTAGAATTATTCAGAATCAAGTTTCTTTGTCAGAATTGTAGTAATTAGGCATTTTCCATCTGTTTAACTGATCCAAAAGGTTGAGTTTCATTTTGAGGCTACATAATTTTGATTTTGATTTCATGCATTACCATTTGTCTGAAATAAACTCAATGATTGTGTGATTGGATTAATTAGTGAAATAAGTAGTTAGATGTCTGAAATAATATTACTGTACTTTCTGATCTATAAGCTGCTACTTTTTTCACAGGCTATGAACCTCACGGCTTATACAACGCTGCAGAAAATTTATGGATTTTTTTTTTTTTGACCAGCGAATGAGCTTCCTCCCGCCAAAAACATTTAGCCATGTCACACCCGAGCATTCACATAGCTGCCCAATACACATCTCTCTTGAGGGGTGGGTCCTTGTGACTTTATTTTAATGTTTAACACACAGAGTGGAAGATGGGAGAAATCCTCGTTCTCTTCCCCTCCCCATTTTATTGGTTCGGCTATGACCTTTTTGGTAATTTCATTGGTCAGATTTTTTTTTATCTTTATTTAAACAGGTAATCTCTTTAATGTCTCTCTTGGGGAGTGGGGTCCTCGTGACTCAATGAGACTACCTCATTGGTTCATTGTTGTTGACTGTTGGTCACATGGCCTCAGGGAGGGATTATGGGTAAAATTTATGTTCATTGTTAATCATTTCATTTAGCTGTTAAGTATTGTGTTTTTAGTGATTATTCTGTTCTTCTTAGCTTAGTTTATGTTTGTTATATATTAGCTTGTGTTAAAACCATCCACTAGCAAGCACAAGCCAGTATATCTCTTTGGCCAGTCCCAAGAATGGATAAATAGTGAGGGTTGTGTCAGGAAGGGCATGGAAATGGCTGAAGTCAACACCTATTTCCAAAAGAGGGAGGAACACAGAGTGACCTAAAAGATTGGAGGACGGAGTGTGCAGGTAGACTACATTCTATGTAGAAGAGGAAACCTGAGGGCAATCGGGGGCTGTAAGGTTGTGGCAGAGGAAAGCGTGGCCAGACAGTATCAGATGGTTTTGTGTAGAATGATTGTTGTTGTGAAGAAGAGAAAACGAGTAAAATCAGAGAAGAAGACCAAATGGTGGAAGCTGAGAAAAGAAGAATGTTGTGAGAAATTCAGAAAGAAGCTGTTAAAGGCTCTGGGTGGTAAGAAAAAGCTTCCAGATGACTGGACTACTACAGCAACAGTAATTAGAGAGACAGGTAGGAAGGTACTTGGTGTGTCATTTGGACATTGAATGGAAGATAAGGAAACCTGATGGTGGAATAGTGAAGTGCAGAAAGCTGTTCAAAGAAAGAGGTTAGCCAAGAAGAAATTTGACAGAGAGAGGACTGAAGAGAGGAGACAGGAATATAAGGAGATGCAATGTAGAGCAAAGAGGGAGGTAGCTAAGGCAAAGTGAAAGGTGTATAATGAGTTGTATGGGAGACTGGACACTAAAGAGGGTGAGAAGGACCTGTACTGGTTGGTGAGACAGAGGGATCAGGCTGGAATGGATGTGCATCAGGTTAGGCTTGTTAACGATAAGAATTATAATGTCCTAATGATTGAGAAGGTGTGTGATGGGAAGATGGAAGGAGTACTTTGAGTAGCTAATGAATGAAGAGAATGAAAGAGAAAGAAGAGTAGAGGTCATAGAAACTGTGGACCAGGAAGTGGGAAAGATTAGTGAGGGTGAAGTCCGGAAAGCTCTGAAAAGAATGAAGAAGGGGATGGCAGTAGGACCTGGTGACCAGTGGAGGTTTGGAAATGTCTTGGAGAGATGGCAGTGAGGTTTTTGACTCAAATATTCAATGGCATATATGAGGGTGAGAAAACGCCTCAGGAATGGAGAAGAAGTGTGCTGGTGGCCATTTTTAAGAACAAGGGTGATGTACAGAGTTGTAGCAACTACAAGGGAATTAAGTTGATGAGCCACACGGTAAAGATCTGGGAGAGAGTTGTGGAAGCAAGACTTAGACGAGAGGTGACTATCTGCGAGCAGCAGTATGGTTTCATGCCAAGAAAGAGCACCACAGATGCCATCTTTGATTTGGGGATGATGATGGAGAAGTACAGAGAGGGTCAAAAAGAACTCCATTGTGTCTTTGTGGATTTAGAAAAAGCATATGACAGAGTGCTGAGGGAGGAGGTGTGGTATTGCATGAGGAAATCTGGAGTGTGAGAGAAGTGTGTTAGACTGGTACAGGGCATTTATGAGGACATCAGGACAGTGGTGAGATGTGCTATAGGAGTGACATATACCTTCAAGGTGGAGGTGAGTTTGCATCAAGGATCAGCTCTGAGCCCCTTCTTGTTTGCTCTGGTGATGGACCGACTAACAAATGAGGTCAGGCAGGAATTCCCATGGACTATGATGTTTGCAGATGACATTGTGATCTGTGGTGAGAACAGGGAACAGGTGGAAGAGAACTTGGAGAGGTGGAGGTATGCACTTGAAAGAAGAGGAATGAAAGTCAGCCTTAGTAAGACAGAGTACATGTGTGTAAATGAGAGGAAGGAGGTGGAACAGTGAGGCTACAAGAAGCAGAGTACACAAAGGTGCAGGACTTCCAAGTACTTGTGGTCTACTGTCCAGGAAAATGGGTAGTGTGGTAAAGAAGTGAAAGTCAAAGAAAAAGTTTACAAGACAGTGGTGAGACCAGCTATGTTGTATGGTCTGGAGACAGAGACATGGACAAAAAGACAGGAGACAGAACTGGAAGTGGCAGAAATGAAGATGTTGAGGTTCTCCTTAGGAGTGACAAGGATGGATAAGATTAGGAATGAGATTATCAAAGGTACAGCACAGGTTGAACAACTGGGAGATAAAGTTATAGAGGCCAGACTGAGATGGTTTGGACATGTCCAGAGGAGGGACCGTGGGTATGTTGGTAGAAGAGTGTTAGAAATGTAGCTGCCAGGAAATGGACAACGAGGAAGGCCATAGAGGAGATATATGGATGCAGTTACAGAGGACATGAAGGTAGTTGGAGTGAGGACAAAGGATGCAGAGGACAAAGTGAAATGGAGGAGGATGACTCGCTGTGGTGACCTCTAAAGAGGGAAAAGCCGAAAGAAGAAGAAAAATGTGTTACTTTGTGTTAGGCCATTCAGTAGAATAACCATGAGTGAGGGAGGTAGTTGCCACGGAGAAGTGTGGGATTCACTCTGTGTTGTGTTTAAAACCAAAATCAAGTCTGTGAACTTCCTCTGGTGGTTGAATCTTGATCTACAACAAGAGCTACGCATTTCTCACATAAGCGTGCTTTGCCACTCATGTTACAACGTGAACCCATGCAGCTTATATATGTACAAATTTGTTTTATTTTTTAAATTTAGTTTGTGTGGCTTATATTCGCATGCACTCTATAGACCGGCAATTACAGTAATTCAGCATAGTAAAAAAGGCATATAGATGTCCATGGAGTTCTACCTCTGACAGAGTACAAAGCTAACAGTTTGTGTTTTTGTGTCCCACAGCTTTAGTGGATATCACTTGCACTCTGTTGCTGCTCAATCCAGACCTCACCACTGCGTGGAATGTCAGGTACAAACAGGAAGAGCACAAATATCTAGGGTCTTATTAAATCCATTTTATTTTTGTCCAAATTTCAATTCATTATTTCCCCCAATTTTGTTCTTTTTGATTTTATTTTTGAGTTTCATGTTTTCTGTAATAAAAAGTGGTTTTATTGCAGATGAAACCACGTTTATAAGTGCTGTATAAAACATGTTTTTCCACTGTCTGACGTTAAATCAGACAAAATTTTCCTATTTTATGTCAGTTAAGGTTCTCAAATTTATTTCTATTTATTAACGTCTGAATAATTAGAAATAACTATGTAGATTTTTCTATTACTTCAAAGTCACAAGTTCAGTATTTTAGTATTATTACATACCTGTAGTTTATTTTCATTACCTTTAAACTATATAACTTGGATTAAACATTTTGGGTGTCCTACCAGCTTCTCGCAATTAATTTCAATTCAATTAAGTTTATTTACAGGTGCTGGTCATAAAATGAGAGTATCATGAAAAAGTTGATTTATTTCAATAATTCCATTCAAAAAGTGAAACTTGTATATTATATTCATTCATTACACACAGCCTGATAAATTTTAATTGTTTATTTCTTTTAATGTTGATGATTATAATTGACAACTAATGAAAACCACAAATTTAGTATCTCAGAAAATTAGAACATTACTTAAGACCAATTTAAAAAAAAAAGGATTTTTAAAAATGTTGGCCAACTGAAAAGTATGAACATGAAAAGTATGAACATGAAAAGTATGAGCATGTAAAGCATCAACACTTAGTTGTTGCTCTTTTTGCCTGGATTACTGCAGCAATGTGGCGTGACATGGAGTCGATCAGTCTGTGGCTCTACTCAGGTGTTCTGAGAGTCCAGGTTGCTCTGATAGTGGCCTTCAACTCTTCTGAATTGTTGGATCTGACGTATCGCATTTTCCCCTTAACAGTACCCCCCAGATTTTCTATGGGGTTAAGGTCAGGAGAGTTTGCTGGCCAGTTAAGAACAGGTATACCATGGTCCTTAAACCAGGTACTGGTAGCTTTGGCACTATGTGCAGGTGCCAAGTCCTGTTGGAAAATGAGACCTGCATGTTCATAAAGTTGGTCAGCAGCAGGAAGCATAAAGTTCTCTAAAATTTCCTGGTAGACGACTGCGTTGACCTTGGACCTGAGAAAACAGTGGACTAACACCAGCAGATGACATGGACCCAAACCATCAGTGACTGTGGAAACTTGACACTGGACCTCCAGCAACATGGATTCTGTGCCTCTCCTCTCTTCCTCCAGACTCTGAGACCTTTCATCAGAGAACATAACTTTGGACCACTCAGCAGCAGTCCAGTCCTTTTTGTCTTTACTATACCATACCATTTTATTTATAGAGCACTTTAAACAGCGACAAGGCCAACCAAAGTGCTGTACAAACAGAAACAAACAAGTAAAGCACACAGCAACACATAAAATAACGTAAAATCAAAATATAGAAACAAAATAATAGCGGATAATAACATAATGATTAGCACAGTGTGATGCATACAGGTTCAGCAACAGATTCAACAACATTGTTGAAAGCCAGGGAATAGTAGTAGGTTTTTAAGCAGGATTTAAAAACTGTGAGGGAGGGGGCCTGCCTGACGAGCAGAGGTAACTCATTCCTAGTCTAGACCAGGGGTGGTTAAACTTTTAGACTCGTGGGCCACACTGAGTTCTAAAATTGGAGTGAAGGGCCGGGAACAGATGGATGGAGTGTTTGTGTGATGTTACACCCCAGCTCAATAACAGCTGCCAGGACACAATTAATTATGTTTGATTCCACCTTCTGCACCACTCAAGCAGCCACTAAGTCAGATTATATGATAGAACAGTGATTTTATTTACAATAGTGACATGATTGACTTTGTGGAGTCTTACCAACTTCAGGCCCAAACAACAAACAAAACAAACCACTGTATTTTCTCTTACCTGAAGAAAAATCACATGAACCAAACCTCACTATGCTCATGGAATACAGGAGAAAAGTCTAAATAAAGTGTCGGCTCACCTCCACAAACTCCTCACTAAACTTTTTACAACTACAGGATCTAAAGTTGATGACAGGTCAGCTGGTTGGGAATGGAAGCAGACGTCCTCCTCCTGCAGCTCCTCTGTGCAGCATCACAATAGAGTACCTGCACAATAATTCACACGTTTTTGTCTTTCACTTTTTTTAATAATTCACACACAATTAACAGTTTCCCACACAAAGTATGACTTACAGTGGTTCCTGATGGATGAAAAGTAACATCCTGGTCGAGGTTTTCCTTTCACTTTATCCTGGATTCTTGTCAGCAGCCCGAT